TAATGGCAATTGAAAAAAAAAAAATGATAGAGATAAAAGATGAATAATTCGATAAGAAGTAGATTCTCAGGACCATATTTTCTTCACAAGTGTAACGATGAATGTGCATTTTATTGTTGCAATATTTTTTTTTTAAATAAAAATGTTTAATTTTTTTTTTGTAAGTTTGCACGAAAAAGTGTTAGAGTCTTTAGAACCTCTGACCATATTTTCTTCACAAGTGTAACGATGAATGTGCATTTTATTGTTGCAATATTTTTTTTTTTAAATAAAAATGTTTAATTTTTTTTTGTAAGTTTGCACGAAAAAGTGTTAGAGTCTTTAGAACCTCTAGAAGAACCTTCTTCTAGAACCTTTAGTATATCCTGCTAAATTGTCCTGAAACAAACCTCCAAAGTAGTGATGTACTCGAACTCAGGGGTAGTTTTGGTCTCGCGATATCCCCACAAAGATATCTGCACGCCTGCGTTCGTATTGGCTGTCAAATTATAATTCTTCCAAGTAATTTTGATCTGCGCAGGATTCGCTTGGTGAACGGCATCCGAGACGGCGATCTTCTCAGCCGCTGTAGCTGGGGTCTCTGAAGAGTTCGTTAATTTATAATTAATAATAAAAACCGTCGTCTTCTCGATCATACGATATGATCACCTTACCGATGAAATATTTCCCCTTCCAATCGTAAGTCTTACTCTCTCCGATGCTGATCGCGAATCGGATGTAACCCTGCGCCTTCACAAATGGCTGAACGCAAATCGCGCGGTTCCTGTTGATCATCGTACCCAACACCCATACATTCTCGAACATGCACCGAATTTTCTCGGTCTCGTTGAAACATGGACCAGTTATATTGACAATTGTACCGCCCAACATGTTTCCACTCTCGGGCGCGAACATTAGAGGCAAGTTTGCGCCAGCTGTAACATAGAAAACGTGGAAAATAGAACGTTGACATGAGTATAATATGAAAACCTGTATGAAAGTGTGAAACGTATAATCAGTAGTAAAATTGTATCGAAGATAGGAAATATTTATGGGATTGGAGTCTTTGTGTCATTCAAAAGGAGCAATTACAGCAATGAAATTAAGAAGACGCTTTAGCTATAGGCGTAGAGTCTCGGCTTGCCACCCCGGAGGTCACGGGTTCGATTCCCTGTTTGGTTCCAAACATTTTTTCTCGGCTTTTCTTCACGTATACTGTTGTACAATCTTACCGATATCTTTGTTGCAAGTTCCGGGCAATATATTCTCGTCTATCCTAAATATGTGACGTCCTGGAAAGCCATTCGCCCATCCTCTTCCTGTTAAATCGCGAATCGTCGACTTTTGAGAGTAGGGTTGGTATTCGTAGCTTCTCGTGCCGTTTCCGGCGTTAAAACCGACCTGAAAAAAAACAAATTTTAACGAGAACTTGTATCTAATAAATAGCAGATTAATTATAAAGAATGACTCATAAGTATCGCACTTTACCATTTAAAATTTGTTTATTCAATTTTCAAATGGCAAAGCGATTAATGAACCTCGTTATACAATCTGCATATGATTCTCCATATTATGTGATAAATTAGGGAACGTCAAGAAACATACAAACGCTGGAGTTCCACCTTCTCCTCCAGTAGTGTCACCACCAGCCTCAGTGTGACTGGACCACTGAATTTCCAGATAATTAAAGATCGCGTAGGTGTTCACTTCGTCCGTAGCCAGGACCATTTGAAAGGTGTTCGTTTTGTACAGCGAATTATCGATACCACCAGTAAACGACATGTTCTTCCACGTGATTATTACCGAATGTTTAGGTTCGAATGAATCTGTACCAATGATCCCCTCACGAACGTCCCACTTGATACGTTCGCGCATTTCAACGCCGAATTGATCTTTCCTCCTTTCCAAATCTCTCTCGAGCCTACAATATAATTTTCATTACAAACTCTCAAATTATATAAACTATTTTTTTTTTTTTTTTTTTTTTTTTTTTTTTTTTTTTTTTTTTTTTTTTTTTTTTTTTTTTTTCAAGAATTTCCCACCGACCTAAAGTATACACCAGCTTTCCTTTGATCTATATCGGTGGGTCTTACTTCTCCTATGCGACATTTACTGAAGAATATCCCGATGAAGCTAGGATCGTTCTTCTTCGGCCAGTCTTTGACAGGAAATACGACAGGATACGTGTAATGTACCGGAGGGTCGCTGAATTCTAAGAAACCGTTCATGGATACCTGAAAATGTGCAATGTATTTGCTTGAAATACGGCCGAGTAGGATCTTCTTTTTCAGATTAGATTAGCCGATAGTTATTGGTAGATTGATAACGAGTGACGACGAAGAAAAACGTACTCGCGTGTAATTGTATCGGAACCCGAAGAATGGTAATTGAAAATTGAAATTCTTGTGTGTCTGAGGTGTGGACGATTGGATCTCCTTCTGGTAGTCGCCTTCGTCGTTGTCGCCGCCTTTGTCGAAGAACCAATACATGAACTTAGAACGGATCTCTTTCAACCTTTCCTCCGTTAAAATGTAGTTAGGTACTGAATCATCGGAACGAGGCGCGTATCTATCTGCTTCCGGTAAATCGGAATCTGCAAAGGCACGTGAATTCTAGTCCATCGAATACAATCGTTCGACGTGTAGAATTTTGTTTAACGATTTTACCATCTTTTCAACCCTTTCGTGACTGAATTACTATTTTTTCAAACTTTTTTTATTTATCTACAAATTATTGCATCAAGACTGAGTCGTACTTTGATAAACGTTAAATCGAGACGAATTTTCGAGTATTAATTTTTGAGATCACGAAAGGGTTGAAGTGTGATTTTGCAAATATCGCCAGTTTCGACGAGTTTCCTATTAACAACCAGCTTACATCTTGGCGAGTGAAATTAACAAACGAAACATATTGACATAAACGATAACATAATCGTGTAGATTAAGTTGAACGTAAAGAGGCAGTAGAACTGAACGAAATAATTCCAACGGAGAGATATCAGGGAATAGAAGGAAGATTGAAAAGTGTTCGTTACGAACGTCGTGGTGATACAAACTCAATGATTCATCCCCGATTTACGTTAGAGTGAGTAACTGATAAAACGGATAAGATCTGATTCGTTAGTTCGACTGTACATAACAAAATAACGCCGTTGAACGCCTATTAATCGAGCATACTTCCTTTCAAAGAAATTCATAGATAAATAATTTTCGAAATTACACGATGAAAAAAGTGAAATGCAATGTTTTCAACAATTACGTGTCAAGGTGTATAAAATAGGAGAAAAACTAATGGTCACGCCCATCGATATCGAAATACTCACCGTATCTTACGTACTTTTCACTTTTTTCTCCGGCCATTTTACCGGATAGACCTCGAGAAAACGCGACTTGATCCTTACTTTCGACTTTCTCTTCATTTTGGACGATAGCCGGAACTTCGTCTTCTTTTTTCCCTTCGACATTGCCTGTCACGTGGTCCCAACCATTGTCATCGCGACTTTTTCCATCGGTGTTCAGGTCCTCCACTTCCGACAAAGGTTGTGCAATGTCCTTGTTCGTTACATCTGGATGATTCTCGCTGCTTTCCGTGTAGATCGGTTCTCTGTTCTCCGTGGATTCGGTCTCGTCCAGTCCGAACGCATTTTCGAACGTTTCGTTTTCGATCTGCGCGGATATCCCGGTGGTTAGCAACAGGAGGAAACACCAATGAACCAAGGGCGACGTTGGGGATGAAAAAACGCGGCTGAGACGGGGCTCATTCCGCATTTTTAACAAGGGTAAATGAACCGATTTGTCTACTTTACTAAAAGACACTGAGCTGTAAGTTCAGGTAACGAGCTATGATAACGGTACTTTGATATCAGTTGTATAGCGATAACGCGCGTTTATCTCATTACTACAGGTGGATTGATAAGGTTGAAACTTACACGGATAAAACAAGCAAAGGGCTAGTGCCCTAGTTTCGAGAGGGCATGAAATGTCCTTCGAACGATCGTGTAATATTAGGTTTTACTTTTATTTTTATAATTGTCGAGTTATATGGTATCTTGGATACCGTTGTTTACGTTGTGTAGTCAGTAATGAAAAATGACGAAGTTCTTTTTAAGTAAGATGTTTATTGTATCTCTGGAACGACGTGTTATTTACAAAAGAAATGGGTTTTACGGTGTTTACTTTTAAAGTGTGGCAAAAAATCGTTCTAGCTTTAGTCTCGTAATTAATAACGCGTTTCACAATAAAACATACGTGTATAAGGAAGTACTATCTGGAAAATAATAAAAAAAAAGAATAAAACAAAAACAAGAAATTTCTCACTAATTGTATTCTCTACAAAAAGTACGATTAACCACGAGAGAATAAATTCCTTTTTTTTTTCTCTCCTCCGAATAGCTACGCGTCTATATCTCATCCAATTGGTCTAAAATTGCACAAAGCATGATTTTGACGAATATTTATTAAAACACTAAATATAAGAAATTACTATCAGGCTTAAAATGTACTGATCTATAAATGCACTGTATGATAAATGTACATATGAACACTGATAGACGTACTTAATGCAATCTTGCATTTCCTTTCCTTTCAAATTTTTCTTTTCACTTTTCAATGCTTAACCGACCTTCCATATCCCAATAGAGATTTTTGCAAAAATCTTAAAAGTAGATTTGTTTCCTCTTTTTTTTTTTTCTTTTGTACTGCAATTGTATCTTGTATACCAATATTGTCACAAACGCTTGTAAAGAAACTATATTACATATTTTATGTTGCACAGTATTGTAAATATTTTCGATTAATAGCACGTATCACAGAAGAAACCTACGAAAGACTCAAATGCGAGGATACAAAAAATGCACAAATATGAAAAAATGTTCCTATAGTTTCATTTTCAATTGGTGATATTTATAATCTACAGCAGTGATTTGAATGTAATATTGTGGATATGAACTATACGCTTGACCATTAAGTGAAACATTATTTATAACATTTTATTTGTAATGAAATAATCTGTTCCGACTGAGATGTGATAGTTTTTAACATTACGAAGACGAAGAATTATCTCCATTACTGTCTAGGTAACCTCCTGAACCATTCACGACAAATGATGTTCCCAAACCGTACAAATGACCACAATATTTCGCATCATCAATGTTATCTTCGAAAAACATCTGAAACAAATTATTCTTTTCATTGGTACACTTGCAAAATGATTGATTAACATTTAGATTTTCATTAGAAATTGCTTTTACCTCTCGCATCTTAAAGAAAACCATTCCCGTAAGTAACGAATCCGATCCAGCTTGATGTTGCGGTCCAACTCTTTGAATTTCCAATTGTTCTGCTACTTCCTGTAGGCCTCCCTTCAAATTTTTGCAAGATTTCATTAAATACTGCGAACAGAAAGTTGTTTATTAATATAGTTCGTGTTATAAGAAATGTCTCTTCGGAATAACGATAAAAAAAACATACTTTTACATCGTATATCGTTGGAAAATATATCCTAAGGAGTTCGAAAAATTCACTTTCTTCCTGTGGTAAATTTTGGTCTGTAAGAAGTTTTAATAGGTAGCCAAAGTCGTAGCCAGAATGAAAGGACAGCCATTTTATGTCGTCGACAAGAACAATTCCTGATGTCATCAAAAGTTCGGCAAAGTCTAAAGGATCGATACCCTCTTCTTCGTGTTTTTTGAACTGTATACCACTGTTTTGTAGCATATCTATACTATCCTGTGCATACATGTCTTCCCTAAAGAGTTACGCAATGTATTATCTCATTCTACACTTTTAATATATTATCTCATAGTGAACCATGCAAAACGTACTGTAAATTAAATTTGAAATTAAATTGCCACGTCGTATAACTACCGCCAGGTGTATTCCCCGATTCGTCGAGAAACGTAAGACCAAGTTGAATTATCCGCAAGAGATCTACGTTACATCGAAGTAATTGATACTGGTAATCGGCGCTAGTCCTGAATTCACCTGCAATAAACAAGGAACAAGACATTTTTTTAAGTATTTTTTTCATAAAATATTATTTAGTAGAATTAAATTATTATTATTATCATATCATACCAATCGGCCTAGCAACTACTCCTGGAAATTCAGTATCCATCGCGATATACTGATACTGTTGCACGACCTGCCGAATTGTACGAAATTCTTCTTCGAGATTATGACCCCAAACATCTCGGATCCCACATTCTTCATTACTGGGCATAGTAGCCCCACCCTTCTGCTGCCCTATAGGGTTACTTCCTCCTGAAAATATTTGAAAACATAAGTACTACTTTGATATGAAATAAAAAGGAGCGCAATGACAACACTCGTTATCAGCATTTCATAGGTTGTATGTTGATAATACAAATGTACACTATATATATATACAATTTCTTGTATCATATTCTTCTTTAATTTTGCAATGGTTAATGGGTAACTGAATCATAATACTTTACAACGTAATTACTCGTAGTTACTTTATTGTAAGTATTCAGAAAAACCATTTTTGGTTGGTACTGTTTGTATATATGCAATATATATATTTTTTTCAATTGCCTTGAGTAAGCATTAGTTCTTGAATAATAAACACCGATTGTTACACATGGGCACAGACCAACCATAAATGAAGATCTTACGAAATTCATAATACAGTCATATTTCAGAAAGGAAACAGAATTTTGTTTTCTACAAAGTAGTATAACATCTTATTTAGCAGTCACATGTCTTATATCATACTGTTTAACAAATAAAAATCATTTAAAAATACTTCTGTACAAAATTATACGAAATTATAATAAACATTTGTGCTGTATTTTATAGTAGTTTTCTTCTATAAGTCTAGAGTTGTATTATTTATGTTACAGAGCCAGTCTAGTGGCTCATATAACTGCACCTTCTAAGATTTGTGCATTCTTCTGAAATTCTCTGAAAGCGCACACCTTTTCTTGCAGCAACAGCGACTGTATATTTCTTGGGAACTTCATTGCATGTTCTAATCTATTCTACTACTTTCAAAGAGGACTTCAATTATGTAGCTCTTCTGGAAGGATGTTTGACGTAATTTCATCCACACAAATCCAAAGTACTTTATCTATTTTGCTTCTCTCAGTTCCTGCAATATGTATGTGCCATATTCATTATTTGGAGGTCATATATATTTGTGTTATACCTTTGGTATTCATTATACAATCGATTATTATTTAATTCATGTAAACAAATGTCAAGTCCAACACTTCTCAAGGCTTGGTTTTGTAGACTTTCTTATGACTTCTATCGACATAAGAAAGTGAAGTAATGTAATAGAAAAATTATATGCAAAACAGTACCCTCGTAAAAGAAATAATCACTCGTATAGTTACAATGTATTATACGTACCGGTAGCTGAGGGCATAAGGTTAGATATTCCTGTCGTCACCGGGGCTATTTTTATGTTTAATTCCCACTGTCACAGCTTTACCTTCTTCATATCACTGGAAATATACGTATAAATGTTATCACTTGCTGAACAATTTTCTCTACATGATATTCAAATCTAATCTTAGGAGTATGATTTATGTATATTACATACACGTGAGATTAAAGAATGGTATACAAATTTGAATTCAATGGTTGCTAATAACATTACAGTTTGAAGGTTAGAAGTCCGCGCAAACAAGTATCATTCTTTTATAGCGAGCATACAATAAACAAAACTTCAAAAACGTGACATTAGCGTGAAGCATGATAGAAAAATGAAATTGGACGATAAGGAATCATTTTGGGGAGTGTTAATTTTGAAATAAATACATTGGTGGAAAAATAGGTTATGTATTACAGATAAACAAAAATGATTTGCTCGAGTGAATATGAAAGAAGTAAATGATAAAATGTACCTCTTTGTGTCCTCGTTGCTCCACACGATGTTTTTCTATGTATTAAGCGAAATAAAGTTTTATAAAACACTTATCGCGCTTTTAAATCTTCTGTCACACTACGAACAGGTTAAATGAGTGTCCAAACTCAAAGCAGCAATTCCCTCTATATGCTACCTGAAGTTAGGGCGCCAAAATCGCTATGCTGGACATCTTCGTATGCGGCGTTGCTAAGATCACAGATATTTGTTCACGAATCGAAGGCAACGTGGAAGAGGGCGCGACAGACATAGTCCTAAACGATTACCCTTCGAGTTAAAAATACCAAGCATATGACATTGAGGTACACTATTTTCACGCTAAGTAGATATCATGTAGCGCAGCAGTCGTACCGTAAATAACACGTTTTTATGAATGAAAGTTAATTCGAACCTCAAACATCTGTAATAAGAAAATAACGTTACATTGTTCACAACTATTTTTGCTGCAAGGTTACCATACTTGTTTTTAATTTCATTGTCGCAATAACGCTGTAAATAGAAAAAGGAATATTTCGTACCGTTTGTACAAACGCGACATTTAGAACATAACATTTCACATTTCAAATATAAAATATTTATTCTACACTGTGAACAGTATTACAAGTCGCCATTCACTTGAAACAGTTTACATAATCTAGACTTTGCTTCAAAAAACCGGAACATTTGCGTTGACTCTGATAAAGCTCTGAAAATACTTATCGTAATAACAAGAAACGATACCAGGAAAACATTCTAAGGACGAATGTACGTAATTACAATGGTTGCATCATTCTGACACATGAATTTCTTTGAAGTGTCTTATCAGTGTCTACCTTTCCATTAGTCATTTAAACATACTCTGTTGTATTCGATTCTGGTATTTGTAGGGTTTCTGACAATTCCATTATTTCATTTACATAACACACAACGCCCATAGTGTAACCAGAAGCCTGTCCCTAATACAATCAAATTCACTTTTCGTAGCTGAAGCACTTTCGTTAAATATACAACGTGTGATCTTGAAATGCAAATTTATTAGGTTAGTTTTCGCGACTCGATAACATGCTGTTGTTTCCCTGAAAAGTGCGATACAAACTAATTCCTTGAACTGTTTTATTTAAACAGTATTAAATCGTTAGTATCCTTGCGATTGTGCTGCAAATACGTTCGTTCACATTCTACTTCATTTCTACCGTTTATAACTGTAAGTACATTTTATATCTTCGTGTGAAAAATTAATAAAAAAAATCATTCCCACAATAAGCAGTTCTTTTCAAAAATCTTTCATTTCTTTCAAAATTGCAAACAAATCAAATCAGGGAATTAGTTTTGCCCTATTCTGTACATGCACGTTAGATCAAAAATTAAAAGTGTATAGTTAGTGGAAGCGATATAATGAGTTCGTAAATTAAAGCATTAAGCTCGACGTCGAATGAACGTATGATTGAAAAGTATCACCTTAAAATAAGGAGATCCTACTACTATACTCTGTTCAAAATGAGAGTAACCTCGCTTCGCGCATGGGACGTGCCCAAGGCAGGGCTAGAACCACCAGAACGTCCAAACCCCCACTTAACCACCTACGTTTTTCTCCGTCTTACCCTCTCTGTCTATGCGCAGAACGGACGAGAATCGGTCCAAGAGCAAGGTTACTCTAATTTTGAACGACGTATATATATGTCAGTGTGTGCCGTCAAAAATCTTAATAGCGACTTCTGGAGCGCCGTGGGCGGAGTTAAGCGAGGTGGGCGGAGTCAAGCGAACTGGGCGGAATTAAGCAAAATGGGCGGAGTCAAGCGAAGTAGGTATAGTCCAGAGCTGCGTAACTTCTTGCTCACGAGTAAATTTCCCCTCCCGTGGTACCCCCACTATGCGACTGAGATGATCACGCTCGAGTTACGGCGCAGCGAGAGGACGCGAGAAGGAGTCTACCGACCACAACTCCAGCGATAGTTTTTTGGTACGAAATGTGTAACATAAACAAAAGGCAGTCGCTGGAGTTGTGGTGGGAGGACTCCTCGCGTCCTCTCGCTCTGCGCCGTAACTCGAGCGTGATCATCTCAGTCGCGTAGTGGGGGTACCTCGGGAGGGGAAATTTGCTCGTGAGCGAGAAGTTACGCACTCTGGTATAGTCTGTAAAGCCGATGCAGTGAGGTCGTAAAATGAGTCAGGCGTCAAAGTGCACTTAATCTGAGCGCCAAAACAGCAATTCGGGAGAGATAAGGAGCTCGAGTTTCGCTCAGTGCCATTTGATATAAATTCGAAATAGAGGCACTCGAAAGGCAATCTATAATAACAATTCCGAAGTACTAGACAAATACCTTATCGGTCCGTGTGAATCATCGAATCACTATCAATGCACGACCTTGCGAGCCTTGGCACTATAAGCAAAACACAACTCGTAAAAAGGATCGAGGCACAATTATTCGCGATGAACCATCCAAGTTAGGCCTTACTCTCCTATCTCCGGCATGTTCATCGCATTTACCCAGAAAACTGAAAATACCGTGAACTCTCTCCTACACGGCGGCGTCTAGGTGTGTGCGATCGTTGCGTAAATATACACAGCGATAACACGATTAAGTGAACAGCCCCTACCAGACCCACTGCGATCTATATAAACTCTGTTCAATGACCTGATACAGCGTAGTACATACTTACTCGAAGTTGCGTTAAGAGGTTACACACGTTACGATCTCTGTGCTTAACAACGACACACGCAGCAAAAATGAACGGCAAAATGATCGCGTTGTTCTTCGCCACCCTCTGCTGCGCCCTGATGACGCAGGAAGCTTCCGCCGCTGTTGGACCACGTACGTACAATCTTTCAAGTTTTGTAAATCTTTTTATTTCAATTTTTTTTTTTGCAGAATTTTTCAAGCGATAAATACAAGCTTTTACCAGATTGTGCAATTTATTGACATGCAGTATCGTAAAATTAATAAATTGGTAAAAATTGCTGGCGGTTGATAAAAAATTCAGATTTCAGGTCGGAAAATTTTGTTTTTGCGAATCTTTGGAGTTTACGATACTGTTGATCGCGTGATCGATATCGTTTAGATTTCGTTAGAACTGTTATCTGGTAAGTGCTTGATACTTTGGCTGATTGAAAAATTTTCTTTTTCAAGTAACTTTTTCAAGAAAGTATAACATAAAAATGTTCGTAGAATGTAGCTGAAATGACACAATATTGTCCCTAATTTACAATTGTTAATTTTGAGCGATAATTCGGTAACGTTAAAGATACTCGTAAGTAAAGTAACTGGTTTACAATGCATGGAATTAGTATGTTATTGCATTATAGTGAGTAAATATTAATTTTAAGTGATAATTCAGTAATATTAAAGGTACTCGAAAGTAAAGTAATTTTCTTACAAGGCACAAATAGTGAGTGAATATAATTTATCCCACTATTCACGATCTCGAGCAGATCTTTTTCTGAAAAAGCGATTTTACAGCGAAACAATCTTGATTTCACTTTACTTCTTACAGAAAATACATACTCAATTCAAAGTCCTACTTCTAACTATGATTATGCACAAACCAAAGTGATTTCCCTCCACTTTTCTCGTCATTCAATAGGCTTCCACGAACTTGATCTATTTCTACAGTGATCTCCGCGATTTTGATAAAACGATGCATTCGACGTGTCTATCGTTGATAACTTGTTTACTCGATCTGTCATTCTATGACGCGCTGCGAAACAAACTGCTAATACCATACACCATTTATTCTCCAAATAAAATTGCATCCACGAAATTGTCGAAGAAACGTAAAATTTTTATTCGAACGATACAAAATTACTCGCAAAATTATTTTTAACGATAATTTAATCACACAGTTATTGTCACAGCACAACCCATTAATTTGCCATAAATGCAAAGATCCAAGTATCGAAAGTAACACGTCATTTCAGTTACAGCAATATAACTGTGAGAAATAGAAATACGTCGAGCTATTTTCACCGTACGTTAAATTAATCACTTTCACCTGAATTTTTTCAATTTTTTTTTCAATTACGTCTCTCGATCGTTAACAGAATGTCTTCTGCCGTTGGAACACGGACCGTGCAAGGCGCTTATGACGAGGTACGGATACAACCCGGTCACGAATAAATGCGAAGAATTCATGTACGGAGGTTGTCGAGGAAACGAGAATAATTTCCAGAGCCAGGATAAATGTCAGGAAATCTGTTCGTGAACATCTAGGAGTGTGTCAGTGTGATCGGAGCGTATTATTACCAACTGGATTAAATTATATGTATAATACTCAAAGGAAGAAGCAACCTCTCCTACATTCTATCAGATAGATTAGGATTGTATATTTTTCTATTTTTACAATAATCATCCAGGAGAAATAAAACTGATGTTCGACATCCTGAACCAATTTGTACAACTCGTTTATTTCAACACCTGTACATAGTATAAAGTCTGTAATAATAAAAAAATGCGATAAAAGAAATATTTCCGTACAAATCATGTATTGCAAAACCTACAATCAATCGATATGAGATAAATTAATAAATGTAGAGTTGAGATAAACTTCAAGTCTATAAAAAATTAGAAGCAGATTCAGTATTGATGAAAACTGGGAGATGATTCTCAAATTTTGGCCGGTAGTGTGCATACATACATGGTGTAAAATCTGTATTAGTTGTGAAATTAAATTGTACTTGAAATAAATATTTATGTTTTCTAAGATCTGAACGATGTCAATGAAATGTCAAACGTGAATTAAATATTGCAAAACGAAGTATAAGAAATGTTTTAATTATTGTCAAATTATGAAATAATATAATAAAAAGTATTATCAAGTATATATAAAATTATGAATATATTATAAAATTTTCAAGTGTTTACCAAAAAATCGTGATTTGTCGAGTTCGAAGATAGAAAAACCAGATCGCTGAGATAACTCATGCAAATGCGGTCAAGCGAGATAAACATCGATTAGAGGAGACATAAACATCTGATACTCATCGCTCGTAAATCCGCGCAAAGCAACAGTAGTGAACAGTTTTGTCAATTTGACCGCTTGGACTTTTCTCTCACTTGCAATTCTTAACGCTAAACGTACCACGCCTGGTCAAATGACCGGTTTTAAAATTTGATTTAAAACCATGCGTCTATTTTTTCCCGTTCTTGTTAAAAATAAAAATGCAAATGTGTAATTCTTTTTATTATTATCTAAAGACTATTTTCTGCGTTGTTTCCTATATTCAATTAACAATCACCTGTGTTCCTTTCGGAAAAATACGATTATTTCATAACCGGTCATTTGACCGCCTACGGTAAGAATAGGTACACGTAAAGTGTCGATACGATTAGTGTTAATTCAAGATAGAAAAACAGCGAAGATATCTGAAAGAAAACAAAGCAGATTAACTTACTTCTGTTCTTGGCGAAAGCCTTTTCAAGCTACTCGAACAATACTTTCATTATCAATCGTAATTATCGTCGAAGAATCTTTTCTTTTAATTGTTCTTCACACTTGCTAAACATCGCCTTTCATTTACCGTTTGATTCTTTTAACCAGACATTCGTCCGCTGTCGTGATAACGTCGCTCTTATCTGTGATACCGATCATTAATGAGTATAATTGATTTACTCACTTTATCCAACTTATTTATTAGCTAATCTTACAAATAAGAAAAATGAGAGAAAAGTCTGTATTTAAGTCTACGTAGAAACTTATTTGAGAATGTTTATTAAAAATTAACTTTTTATCGAAACAAAAATCTTCCACGAGTGATGATAATATTAGTGTTTAGCTCCAAAAAAAAAAAAAAAGAAAAAAAGAAATGATTTATTAAGCCTTTTGGCCTTATTTTATCGACTAACTGTGTCACGAATTAAAACGCGATAGCAATGTGAGAAGTTGTGAAACCAGCGTCTGTCATAAAGTTCTCCAATGATGAGTAGAAGAGGCATGCACGCGCTGTCATCGGGGAATTAGAGGCACGCATCTTTCGATTCGTTTCAGTGGATAAAAGCGTGTCAGTTTCGAAAGTGGCGTGCAACAAGAGGATCTCGAAGTGTTCACCGGTGATCATTTTGAGTGACAGTATCCTCGACATTCGCGACGGTGGAAAAAGTCATGGTGGCCTGTGGTGAAAAGAACGGTTGCAAGTGCATGTCATGCAATATCGTCCCGGCTGTTATGTATGTACTGTTTGTTGAACTGGAACCGTACGTGTCGCAGGTGATCCTGCTTTCCAGTCATGCTTAAAATTAACCAATTTCTCTATTATCGTTGTAACCTAGGTGTACGTGCGTGGCACGGGAATGCTTATTATTGGCCACACCTTGCCAGGAAGAAAATACTTTAACGACAGAGCGTCGGCTACCAAACCCGTTGTCCACTTGCGATTGAAATAATAGTGATTGTGTGTCGTCATTTCGCAGGGCGATTTATCTAGGTAGACGATGTCACGTTATTTTGTTATGTGGCACAGTAACGGAGCGGTGAAGATTCTTTTTGATAGTGGAAAATTTATCTCGAGAGTGATTTGGTTTGATTCGATCTAAATTGACTCGAGGTGGAGGTCGTATTAATTTGAGAGTCGAATTGGCCTGGAGGTCAAGTTGGTCCACGGTTTCTGAGGTCCCAAGGTCACGGAGATCTCAAGATCTTCGAGGTCCCAGAGTTCCTGAGGTCCCAAAGTCCTTAAAGTCCTTGAGTCCCTGAGGTCCCAGAGTCCTTAAGGTCCCTGAGAGCCCAATGTCCGTGAGGTCCCAGAATCCTTAAGGTCCCAGAGTCCTGAAGGTCCTAAAGTCCTGAAGGTCCCAGAGTCCTGAAGGTCCCTGAGTCCTTAAGGTCCCTGAGTCCTTAAGTTCCCGGAGTCCCTGAGGGCCCAGAATTCCTAGGTCCCAGAGTCCTTAAGGTCCCGGAGTCCCTGAGGGCCCAGTGTCTGTGAGATCCCAGAATCCTTAAGGTCCCAGAGTCCTTAAGGTCCCTGAGTCCCTAGGTCCCAGAGTCCTTAAGGTCCCTGAGTCCTTAAGATCCCGGAGTCCCTGAGGGCCCAGAATTCCTAGGTCCCAAAGTCCTTAAGGTCCCAGAGTCCTTGAAGTCTCCGAGTCTCTGAGGTTCCAGAGTCCCTAAAATCACAGTGTCCTTCAGGACCTAAACTCTTCCAAATCCCCGTGCCAAATAAATTCCAATCTCAAGTCTACTTTCGAACCAAATCGGTCCCAAAACCAATTTAACTAATTCTATTCAAACAATTACATCATAGTCCCACATTCCACAATTTCACATTCAGATTAAAATTATCTCTTCGCAAATAACAAACGTACAAAGCACTCCTGCTATTTTTTAGCATCCCATCCGTTGCGAGCCAAGGCACCAGGTATTCTTTGCAAAATCGATGCGCGAGATTCGTCGAATTAGCAGCTCCGCCAGCTACATCTAACGATCTCGAATCTTACCGTCCCCATGTCTCGTACATCCTTCAAAGTTACTTGTTCGAGCGCACAACCGTACACGGCCAAGTCCCGCTAACGATTAGATTGAATTAGGTTGCAAGCGAGATCCATTACCGCTCATTGCCTTCTACGTTCGCCACCAGGATCTCGGCTCTTCATGCAAAGGAAGATCAACGATACACGGTATATTTCGTACCTGGACAACTCACTTTATCGGTATAACCACTCTTCCGCGCTTTATGAAATTAAACTACGAACCAACCGACGTACGTTATCGTCGCGTGTAACGTCGTCGACTGCCGTTGTGGTCGGCATTTAGTCGATCTTATCGCAGTACCACCCTTAACAAGTGTAACACGTTTCACCTATTTCCTAAGATTTTATTGGCGCTCTTTATTCACCTTCTCGTCGGTCGCGTTGACTTTTTTTTCACAAGAAAATGTGGAAACTGCGAGGAAATGTATAAGATACCAGATAAGCTATTTTTCTTAGCAAATTTTATTTCGCCTGATTCTCGATCGAAAAGATTTAATCCGAGTGGAATTCATGCATGGTATGTATCGACGCAAAAATTTGCATACTGCATCGATGACGTAGACAGTTGTCAATATAACGTTCGTCGAATTGCATTATTATCGTCTATTGTGATCTCAACTATGATTTGTAGATTGAAAATCCTTGACACTCTTTGAAATTGATACCGCGTGCCGTGGTATTTTTGTCGATATTAAATAATCGTGTAAATCATCGTGTATACACAGTATTTCATACAATTTTTCTTTTTTGCAAATGATTCTCTTCTTGCGGAGGTACGAAATTGTTTTCGACGGTGTTTCGCCTTAAAATTAAGCACTCTGGGTTGTGTACCCTGAAAGTAAGATACAGTGTGACGAAAATCTATTTTGAAAGGATGACGACGGAGCAAACCACCTCGAACAATCTATCTCCGCCAGGAGCAGTGATTTACATACAACAAGGCACCGCAATGATTGCCTTCGGAATACATTAGCTCGCATGCTCTGGATACAAGGGAACCAGCAAACAAAGTACAACCGAACTCGGACCCTGTACCTACTCGCGGCCAAGACATATTCGAAGGAGTAACAATCGAATTCAAATCGTCGCGGGGCTCGATACGAGACGCTTGAAAACAGCACAAGGCTTTCAAGATCGGTTTCTTGCGTAATCCTTTACTGTAAATCGACATTCCTCAAGCGATATTTATTCGTACATTTTTACGGTTAATCTACGTCCTATCGAACTTTCTTGTTTCAATTTCTCAGCCGCTACTTTTCAATCTGTCTAAAGTAACAGATGTTTCTTAAATTTAGCTCTTGCCTGATCAACCGAGTACACTCTTGCAAGTATTCGATCTTCCCGGTAAAATTCTATGCGTGTTTGCCTCGAGATTAGAATTTTCTTATCAGAAAGCTACTAAAATCGCAGAATGAAGCAGACATCTGCGGCTATTCACACAAGAGTCAATCAACCATTATCCTTCGATTCTCGAGCAATAATTCACCAGGAATTGCACCAACCTGAAGTAAACACGAATTCAACATCGGTCAATTTGCAACCAATTAGAACTCCAACGTTTCCATCCACACAGAACAATAATAAAACCCCTGAGAAAAAAGAAAATCATTTTCGACGCTCGATCACAATTGTCCAAATCCAAAGTGTGTTCGATACACATTTTCTCCATCGATCTTCGTGCAAATACCTCTCCGTTAAAAAGCGACTCTGCGAACGATCGTAAAGTAGATCACGGTGAACACAGCACCCACGTTATTAATTCGATAAAAACTATTCGCCGGTTGTACAATTGCGTTGCAAACCGCGCGACATGCACGGTTACCATACACACAGAAACACACACCTAAGTACTTACGTGCATACGTACACGCGTGACTAAGTTTCCGCGGCCGTAGATTAAGTCGCGAACGAGAGACCGAGAGGCCTATTCCTATTAGAATTACTTCCAAGCACCCATTGTGATCTCCTCGTTTCCATAGATCGCTGACACAAAGGAAATATAGCGTAGGACACGAGAGGAATAGAGCCCT